TTCATTTCTCGAGGCGGAGCAACAAATTAGCTTAGTTTAGTTACTTTTAATTATTAGTTGCAAGTCTTGTAATTATTTAATTAGTTAGTTAGGTAATTAGTTCAAAATGTTGTAATAATTAGTTAATTAGTTTAGCTATTTATTTCATTTTGGTTTGCAATAATTATCCTAATTAGTTTAAGTAGCGTAGCTTAATTAGCTTAGCCCTAATTAGTTGCTAGTTAGTTTTGCTTTATTTATTCGGACTCTCCTTCGTGAGAGCAAAATTTAATAATGTGTATGTCTTCCAACCCCACGTCTTTCTCCCTTTTATTTAATCGATTTTGATGGTTAGATTAGGGACATGTTTTCAAATTAGCATACCTTATGCTTGCATCCATTCATTTGTATTGCATGCACCGAGACTCGGCCCATCATTCTAACTGCATTGTCATTTCAAAACATTCTTTGAATACGTGCTTAGAGCGCATGCTATTTAATTGAATCACGTGTCACATTAGTAGCTGAGCCTATTAATTGCATTATTGCATGTGTTGCATTAGTCATTTTGCATAGTTACGAGTCATGCATATTTTTCTAAATCATATATTCTTAGCTTGGAGTACTAGGTGAGTTTTTAGTGCTTTAGCATACTTGCACGAGTGTGAGTGATTGCCATGACTAGTATGCTTGTCATGAGGCAAAGTGCTTACTTGTTTAACTGCTTGTGGATGAAGGCTTGTTATTTGAATTAGAACGATTTAACGAATGTACGTTTTAAGCACACTTTGTTGAGTGGCAAAATTCGCAACTTTAAGCCCACTTGAGGTGGCAAATTCAAACCATTTTCGCAAAACAAACATGAAATTGAGTTGTTTCAATTTGGGAAAACCAGTCTATACTTGCTTGTGCGCATCACATAGTAAAGCTAGCTTAATAACCACAACAAGAACACATAATGTTTATAAAAAATCATATCATGATTAGTAAAGTGTCGATCTTTGATCGAGCGAGCGGGGGTGCTCAATTCATGACCTTTCCCTTTCGTACCTAAGTTCTCGAGTCGAGGCAACTTTGGTGATGACGGACACGTGGCCTTTGGCATGAGTCATGCATTTCCTAAATTTTTTCAAAATAAAACATTTAGGTAGTGACTCTGTATCTGGAAAAGCAGTCCAATTTTGGCATTTTTGATTCAAAATCAAATTTCCAAACGATTTGCCGGATTTGGACTCTTTGGTGTTTATCAGTTTCATATTGCACTTGTGAGACTAGATTCAAAACCGCGGGAGTTCGATCTGTAGGGCTTCTTTCCGAGTTTTCAAAAGGGGGCGCAAAAGAGCTGAGCTACACCCAACAAGGTTTAAGTATAGGCCTATTGGCCAAAAAGTTTCAAGAATGGACCTTCGACCTAAGAGCTTTTGCAATGAGCTTTTAAAATAGGCATGTTGGGTATTTTTTTGATTAGCAAATTAAAATTTTATAAAAACATGAAATTAAAGATACAGGAAGATGACAAGCATCGAGAGAGGCATGTTGGATATGTTAGCTACCATCTTCCTATTTTACCTCCTCGAATGGACTAGCTACGACATAAATCATTTTAACAAAAAATTTCAAAGCTAGCTACATATGAAGAGTTTTGGAAGGCTCTTTAAACAGTTTGTGTGGATAAATAAGTAAAATAAAGAGTCGTGTTGGAGTTTCTCTACGTGTCCTTATAACTATACCAAATTTATAAAATTTATTGCATTTTTTTTATACAAAAACTCAAAAATTATAAGATAAATTATAAATATATCCCTGGACATTTACTTAGAAGACAGATTGTCCCTTGTGATTTGGAAATTACATCTTACCATTTCAAGTTTCTAATCGCATAATAAATGACCTATTTTGGTTTCGTTTGGCTAAAGAGGTTGGGGCTAGATTAGCCACTAAAACACAAAATAAGCTAAAAAGTCAATAAAATAAAATGTCATATCCAAATCATACTTATTTCAATTTTTCTCTTGCAGAAGTCAAAAAAGTGAAAAAATAAACTCAAACGAACTTTTTAGTCCCAAGGTAAAACAATCTTAACTCAAAAAAGCCAACTAAAGAAGCTTTTTCCAAACGACAGCTTTATTAACAAATCATCGGCTCAATTAGTAATTTTTAATCATGTCATAAATATATTTTAAAATAAGGAAAAATTAGTGAAACATCCTTCTCCAACTTTATGTAGTAGAAGAGTTCAAAATTATTATTAGCTAAGGTCCCTCAACATTTTCACAGAGAAAATTCGACTTAGAGAAATTTTGCCCAACTCAGAGAAATTTCACCCAACTTAGAGAAATTTTGGCCCTAACTCGGAGAAATCTCGAAATTTCTCAAAGTTAGGGCAAAATTTATCTAAGTCCGACAAAATTTCTCTGAATTAAATTTTCTCTGTAGAAATGTTGAGTGACCTACACTACTATGAAAATATTATATGTCATTTATCTTATAAAATCTTAATACCAGGGACCTTAAAAAAAATTCCCCTAATTTTTTTTTTCTTCATGTGGCCATTTATAATTTTGAGGTAATGAGAGGGATTTTTGTATTTTTTGATAGTGTATGGGAATTTTCATAATTTTGCCAAATTCAAAAGAAATTTTTTTTAAAAATCTTAACGCTTATATGATTTAGGATTAATTACACTAATCCCCATTAAGACAAGTCCACAAGTTTGGTATAATTATATTATAATCGGAAATATAACTTTCATAAAAAATATTTTGTCCTTTAATCATGATATTAGTACTTGAAAAATGATAGGGCGAATTACTCTAACGGTCCCTATAGTTTAGGACTTGTGTCACTTTAGTCCATGACTTTTCAATCGTGACACATTTGATCCTAAATTTTGAATCTTATTCCAAATAAGGAAAATTGAAAATATTATTACTCAATTTCAAAGGTAAAGTCGTCAATTTGATAAGATATAAACTTATCTGACAAAAATAAATGTCAAAAAAATATTTTTGAATTTTAAAAATTATTTCTACTTACTAAAGATAAAATTATGTGAAATTGATAAATCTTTTACACATTTATTTATTTATTTATTTTACCAAATTAGCTTTTATTATGTGTTTGAATAATGATCATGTAATGGATGGTTGTTTTTATTTTCATTAAATTAGTTTTTATTTTTTTAAAAATTCAAATATGATGATAACTTTGATATCATTATTAAATCAATCCATTAAATCAAAAAATCTAAAACGAAAAACATTTCATTTATTAAATATATTGATTACACATTAAAAGCCTAACAGCTACTCATTACATGATTATCATCCAAACACATAATAAAAATTAATTTGGTAAAATAAATAAATAAATGTGTAAAAGATTTATCAATTTTACATAATTTTATATTTGGTGGATAGAATTAATTTTTCAAAATTCAAAAATATTTTTTTGATATTTATTTTTGTTAAATTAGTTATATTTTATCAAATTGACAATGTTTCCTTTCAAATTGAGCAATGATATCTTCAATTATCCTTATTTGAAACAAAATTCAAAATTTATGATCAAATGTGTCACAATTGAAAAGTCAAAAACTAAAGTGACACGAGTTCCAAATTATAGGGACTGTTAGTGTAATTCGCCCAAAATGATAATACCAACGTTTTAACATTAAAATTTATATCTTTTGTTTAATTATACATGTGTCTATATATCATTGGTATTAGCTACACTTGTTTTATCATCGGTGTTAATCACACTCCTGTAAATTTTCTGATAAAACATTAAGAATCTTTAGTATTTTTTTTTTCAAAAATAACATTTCATGGAAGTTATTTGAAATGGGAGGGTGGGTCTCTAATCCACTTTGTAGATTGGACAGTATTGTTGGGCTCGTGAGACTCATCACGGGTCCCATTTTGATAATCCGAACCGTTCAATGTGCAGAGTTTGTAGAGTACTTCATTTTTGCAAAAAATCACGTTAATCGGATATGGATAGCCCCATGATCTGAATATATTTTTATTGACAATTTATTTTTAAAATCTTGTTTACCATTAACAAAAATATAATTTGATCAAGGTACTATTGATATCTAATTAACGTAACTTTTGGCAGGGATAAAGTACTCGGCAAGCTCTACGCATTAAATAGTTCAAATGATCAAAATAAAATCTGTGACGGACCTCACAAATCTAATAATACCGTTCAATCTGCAAAGTGATTGGAGACCCTCCTTTCCCTATTTGAAAATGGGTTCTGTTTAAGTGTGCAACCCCCTTAAGGTTGCACACCATATGCAACCCAATTGTTAGCCGTTAGATTACAATAATTGATCAAGACCATTGAATTGTTTAATTGTGAAAAAGTTGAAACCGGGGCAACCGGTTAATGCTTGTATTTGCATGATTGCATCCCACTCACTCTCTATATTTCGTCCCCATCTCTCTCTGTTCTCCTCTCTGTGTAAGGTTGGGTCAGTGTAACTGTTGATTTCCATTAACAGCGAGAAGCCCATGCCGGGTTCGTTCCATTGACGAAGCTCTATAGGGAACAATATAACGGGCGATTTCCAACAACAACGTAACTACAAGCCTGTGTTGGTTCCATTGAAGCCCATGCCGGGTTCGTTCCATTGACGAAGCTCTGTAGGGAACAGTATAACGGGAAATTTCCAACAACAACGTAACTACAAGCCTGTGTTGGTTCCATTGCTGAAGTGAAGCCCTTCTCTCCAACTAGATATGAGGTATGGAGCTGTCTCCCTCTCTCTGTCTCCCTCTTTGTCTCTCTGGCCTCTTCACTTCAGCTATTTTCCATCAACTAAACCCCCATCTTAACTTCAACCGCTCTACGCTTCGCTCAAACGGAAACCCCTCCATTGGCAACTAACCTTTCTCTTTCTCAAGCGAGTGTTTGTGTTTGCACAAACAACTAAACCGTGTGAAAATGTCATGTTTGTGTTTGTGTTAACATTTTTCGGTTATCAAGTAATTGTTTGTACTAATGTCATGTGCAGTATGGCCCGAGCGGAAGTTAAAAGGGAAGGTGATGATTATGACATTTCAAATGAAGCAAATGTCATTCGTTTGATGAATGAAAGTCGGGTAGAACCTTATCATGGTTGCGAAGCTGGTCCGAGCAATGAAGAAGCAACCAACATGAACATTGGAGATGGTGGAGCCGATGTGAAAAAAGAAATGGTTTACGATGCTCATGGCAATGACATGGTTGGTGATGTTGAACGTGCTATTCTGGAACAGAAATTTGATTCGGTCGAAGATGGAAAAGCTTTCTACAATGCGTATGCTAAAGCCAAGGGATTTAGTATACAAAGATCTAGATTTAACACAAATAAAGAGGGAAAGGTCATTAGTAGGCTGTGGTTGTGTTCAAGGGAAGGTTAGAGATTACCAATATAATTGGACCATGTTGCTGAGAAGAGTAGAGCTCCCAAGGCACTAACAAGCGTAGGTTGCAAAGCCCAATTTTGCATACGGTACGATGCAGATGCTGGTGAAGGGAGAAAGTATGTTGTGACTCACTTCGTCGCAGACCACAACCATGAATTGGCGAAACAACACTGTGTGATGTATCTGAGGTCACATCGTAGTTTAAACAGCGCTGACAAAGCTCAAGCAATGGCTCTGCACAACGTCGGTGTGAAGACTAGCCAAATCATGAACTATATGGTAAATCAATCCAGGTCTTATGAGAATGTTGGTTTCGTCCGTACAGATCTGCACAACCATATTGAAGCCGAACGTAGAGCAGAAGTTGAGGATGGTGATGCGCAAGGTGCATTGGTTTACCTATGTGCAAAACTTGATGTTGATCCACGTTTTTTTTACAAGTATGATGTGTGTAATGATAATAAGTTACAAAATCTGTTCTGGGCAGATTCGAAATCGCAGGCCGACTACGCAAAGTTTGGTGATGTGTTGATATTTTACTCAACTTACAGAACCAATGCATACAAGAAGCCTTTTGTCATGTTGGCTGGTGTGACTAGCCACTTTAGGACCACGATATTTGCATGTGTTTTGCTAGCTAATGAGACAATTAAGACATACACATGGGTTTTGGAAACATTTATGGAGGCGATGGGCAATAAAGCACCTGTGTCCGTACTGACAGATGGGGATAAGGCGATGCGAGAGGCAATCAGAAGAGTATTTCCAGATGCAAGACATCGATTATGTAATTGGCATCTTGGGAAAAATGCTGGTTCAAATGTTCACATAAGTGGCTTTGCACATGCTTTCAAGCAGTGCATGGACATGGAAACGGATGAGACAAAGTTTGAGCATGGCTGGACGACAATGGTCGAAAAATTTGGACTTCAAACCAACAGTTGGGTGTTGGAGACACATGAGAAGCATCATATGTGGGCTGAGGCATATATGCGTGGACATTTCTTTGCTGGGATGAAGAGCACTTAGCGCTCGGAGTGTATGAATGCTTATTTCAATCCCTTCCTCCAACACAAATTGAAGCTATATGAATTTGTTAGGCACTATGATCGGGCTCTTGCAAGGATAAGGTATAACGAGGCTGGAGATGATGCTGAAACAAATAACACTTTTCCGGTATTGATTACTCCATTGCGAGATATAGAGAGACATGGAGCTGAGCTATTCACCCGAAATATATTTAGAATGTTCCGTGATTAAATCTTAGAAGAGGGGAATTTGAATGTCAAGGACGTGTTCCCTTTGCTGGATGGTTAGAAATGCTACTATATTCATAAGTACATAGTGAAGGACAGATCATGGATAGTAACACACAGTCCAGTGAATGCTGCAATGAGATGTTCTTGCATGAAGTTTGAGTCGTTGGGGCTACCTTGCTGTCACATGATATGCGTTATGAAAGCCGAAAATTTAACGCAAATTCCCCCAACTTGTGTGCTGCATAGATGGACAAGGGCTGCAAGCAAGGATGGCCAGCAATGGCCTCAACCCTCAATTGATAGCACTACAACACAGACGACCAGGTATGGGATATTGAGTTCTCCCTACAACGAAATGTGTTTTTATGCCTCGCAATCAACGGAAGGTTTCAAAGAGGCTAGGGATGCATGTCTTCCGATGACGAGCCAGATGAAGAAGTTATATGAGAGGAATCTGAACAATGGGAATGGAGACAAAGGGAAACATTCATTCCCTCGACAATTTGGAGTAGAAAATCCTGATATTGTGAAGACAAAAGGGAACCTGGGACGGGCCTCATCCAACTGTCGAAGACCAAGAAAATGTGGGAATTGTAAATGCATTGGGCACACAAAGCGAACGTGTCCTAAGGTTTGTTTTAGCCGAACAGTGGGTACTAACTCAGATGCAGATACACCCCACATAACTGACCATGAGTACAATGCGGAGTCATTGCCCGTTTGCTGCAAAACTGGGTTGGTGGATCTAAGTACACCGCACATTAAGCAGCGGCGACTATTTTTCGATGCTTCTCCTGATTCCAAGCAGCCTGCGGGCCAATACGGTAGTGTTGAGGCAGCAGTGTGCAAAAATGATTCGACCACAATTGATGAGGTGAATCAGGTAATTGTATAATTTGTATGATTTACTTATTCCCTTAATTTATTAGGTAGACAGTACTAGCTATTGAAAACACATGGAAATAATGTGTGTAGTTTTCATTTTGCACGGATTGCTGTACGTAATGTGTAAATCATTAGTTATGTACAATGCTAGGAAATGGCACAACGTTACCTATGTACAAGGCCATGAGTTGTAAATTTCTCACATTATTTAGAGTGATGTTGTCATTTGTGTTTGCAATGACTTGTCATTTTGAAAACTAATTGAAGTGGAGATATATATGGGTTGTCTGTATTGTTTTGGGTGAGAAATTGGCTTATGTCTGTATTCCAAGATTCCTATTACGGGTTGCTTAACTGAAGGGTTTTTCGCGGTGTGGTTTATCAACTAATGATGTGTTTGGATTCATATTGATTTGGTATGACTTGTTTCGGTAAATTAGTATTATATTTCGAGTAAAATACGAATTTTGTCCATGTGGGTTTGCAAAATTACGTACCAGCACATGCATTTTGTATATAATCTAAGTGGCAGTTAATTTTGGGTGTTACTTGGAGAAACTAACCCAACGAACTCGTTACTTTATCTCCATGCCGATTTCTATATGAATTACGAGTTACGAACAGCTGTTGTGAAATTATTTCATGTTAACTATGAAAGTATGGGTTTATTGTTAGTAAAATTATGGTGGGCCTATATCGAGAGCAACGAAGTAGTAATTTAAAGTTGACAAGTTGAAGAAGAAAATCAAGCAATTGTGGTATTGGTTCGAATGCCTGAAAAGGATGAAGACTTCTTTCGATGAACTGATGGTAACAAAGTAGAAAATAACAAAGTAGAAAGTACAAAGTAAGTTGTTGTGTTGTTGTGTTGTTTGTAACAAAGTATAAAGTAGAAGGGAAAAAACTACTTAGAAGTTGCAATATAGAAAGTAAGTTGTGTCGTTGTTCATGTCCTCTTTCTCTACAAACATTCTGCCCTTTATAGCTATTATTTCCCACGACCCCATGATCTGCCGATTCTGCAACTGCTTCTGTGCAACTTCTGTAACTGCATGGTCATTTCCGTGTCTTCAAACCACATAAAACCTTCACTTGTACCTGTCGAAGTGCATATAATTGAAGTTGCCACCTGTGCCCAAGTCCTTTTAGCCTTTCCTCGACAGATACAGACTCCCAATTCGTTTATGTTTCCACTTGGAGGCTGGCCACTAAATCCATGAGCACTACCAGTAACTGCTCCAGCGTGTAAGTCAGGTGGCATGCAAGATTCAATGTTAGTTGAATGGAGTAGCCGTTGGGAGGATGTGGGAAAAATAGGTGCAAAGAGGAACTTTTAGTCTAATATCTAATAATAATTTAGCTGAAAATATGAGTGAAATTTTTTTTAAAAAAAAGTAGTTTCGGTTTTTTTTATTACAAACCCGAGATATATATTTTGTTTTTGATGTAAATAAGTTGTGCATTTTCGTTACGTAAAATGTAGGACAACAATTATGTTTAAGTCATTACAATACAGAAAAAGGTTATTTCAAACATAATTTCAAGTTTACTGACATTGAATATATTTTGATTGAATTACAGGGGAAATTAATATTTGGCAGAGTCTGATGATTCAAAGTCAGGGCAGTAACAGTGAGTGGCCAAGTGTTGTGGTTCAGTGGCCCAATTTGCAAGGATTGTGGTTGTGTTTAGTGGACAATATTCTGTCGTTTTTTGTCTCATAATGATGAGGGACATGCCCCACAATGGTGAAAAGGAAGGTCGACAGGGAAGAGTCAAGAGTGGACTTGAAAATTCGAAGTCAGGGGGCAGTTACAGTGGCAGTTATGGTGTAGACGTGTGGGATCATGCAATGATGGGCCACAAAAACAGTATACGGATATCGAAACGAACGGTCTCCCTTCTAGGCTTTCCAAGTATACTAAACCTCCACTTCTATCTGTCGATCTCCCTTTTCTTGTGTTTATTTCATGGCCACCAACTGTTTGAAACTTCTGTGGACAATATTCTATCGATTTTTGTCTCATAATGATGAGGGACATGCCCCACAATGGTGAAAAGGAAGGTCGACAGGGAAGAGTCAATATTTGGCAGAGTGGACTTGAAAATTCGAAGTCAGGGGGCAGTTACAGTGGCAGTTATGGTGTAGACGTGTGGGATCATGCAATGATGGGCCACAAAAACAGTATACGGATATCGAAACCAATGATCTCCCTTCTAAGCTTTCCAAGTATACTAAACTTCCACTTCTATTTGTCGATCTCCCTTTTCTTGTGTTTATTTCATAGCCAGAAACTGTTTTAAACTTTTGTCGACATAGCAAGGCTCCTGCTTTGTCTCATGCTTCCTCCTGAAAGTGTGCCCACTAACTCCATGACTTGTGCTAAAAACTTCCCCCATCACTTCTAGGTGACCCACATGCAGAGAGCCCACTTTGAAGTGGTGGACATTCCTTCAGACTTGGCCACGTGCCCTCGATTAAATGGACCATCTATCGATAGAGACTGGCAAAACTTGGTGCAAAGAATGGCCCCCTTGTTCAAGTTAAATATCATATGAATTAACCTTGCGAAAGTGATTGGGACCCCCTCCAATCACCACCTGCACCCCCCCTCCCCACACACACACACATGTGGGGGCTGGTGATTGGAGGAGAAAGAAAAAAAAAAGAAGAATTTTTTTTAAAAAAAACTGGCCAATCAGAGAGAGAGGGGTCATGAGGGTGCCCCCTTGCGGGGGTCTAAGTCATATGATATTTAACTTCAACAAGGGGGCCATTGTTTGGGCCCAATAGCAAATTTATTAGTACGGGCCCCATCATAAGCTATAAAAGACCCACCCTTTCAACTTCAAACCACTTCATTTCCCTCTGAATTGAACTCCCCAGACTGTACTCCTTCTTCTCAAGCATTGCCGTTCAAAACCCGAGCACCACAAAACCCTAAGCCATGGCGCCGAAAAAATCTCAACCATCACCATCTGAGGAGAACAATGAAGACCTACTCCGCTTCCCAGACCCTATCAGAGCACGTATCGGTCCTCTAAAATTTGGTGCAACCCTATTGCCCAGCACAAGCTCTGTCGCTAAGGCTACTCTAGGCCCTACCTTCGCATCTTACTTCCCAGACGAGGTAGCTCCATACTATCCCCTTGGTAATGGTGAGAACCTTCTTCTCAACCAACCTGGACTTAAGTGGACTAACTGGAATGTCAGCAAAAACCCACTCAGATCGTGGAGGTCACCAGACTCTGTTTGGCGAAGTTGGGCCAGGAGAATTGAAGGTCACGACGGTGAAGTATGAAAGCACCAGGGCATTAGTGAAGCAATTAGACTGTCGACTAAAAACTATGACATGGACAAAGGGCTGATTGTTGCTGCTGCATGCTTTTGGCCGCAATCTTGTAACTCCCTACTCCTCAATTTTGGTATGATTTCCCCTACCATCTTAGATGTAGCTCACTTGACTGGTCTCCCAATCTTGGGCAATCCAATTCATGCTCTCCTTGAGCCTCCAAAAGTGAGCTTTACTTTAAACACTGACATGTGCTATACAGATTTTGCCAAAAAATACCAAGGCAAGCATGGTTCCCCTGTCGATGACAAAGAAAGAACTGCTTTTTACTTACTTTGGCTTTGTGAGTTTCTTTTTTGTGTCCCTGGGTACAAGATCACGAAAGAGTACCTCCCCCTTGCCTTGTGTATGCAACATGGCCAACTTATGGCTTTAACCCCTTATCTTTTTGCCACCCTTTACAAGGCCCTATTTTCCTTTGTCCACAAGAAGATTTCTGGCAACTGTGGTGGCCCCTTCTGGCTCTTCTAGGCCTGGTTGTATGCCTATTTCCCTCAGGCACGACCCCCACCAGCTAACACCATGAAACTTG